GGTTAAAGCTACCTTGTCGTTAGTGCAAAATATATAAAAGCACAACCTCCTTGCAAAAGATGATTAGAAATACATCTCCAGGAGGCTATAACTCCAGTCTTCGCTCATTCTTCACTAACTATAACGTCTTCACTCATTTTGTGTGTGTCAGATGCTGCTTTCCCTTCCTGCATGCTGTGGTTATATCCGCAGACTTCTATATGACTTCCTGTCCTATGGTGACGCAGCAGCTGACACATGAAAATGCACAACAGTGGGAAGCACTGCAGCTTTTTTTTTTTACCTATCTTGGGTAGGACTGTACTAACAAAACAGTTTTCATTATACACTTTGTCCCCCAGCTTAGTCTTTGAAGCCCCCTTTGCATTGCTTTGGTGGGTTGTAGTGTGTTAACGGTTGCACGGTATGTGCCCTCAGTAGATGTTTAATGCAACGCGTGTGCAGTGCTTTAAAAAAAGACATTGTCGGGAACATACAGCATAGCCAGAGAACCTGCTGGTGGAACCGTATCCATAAGCAATCCAAATGTCCACCTGCAGATGTCTTCCAGGGACCAGCTGAGTTTAATTAAAAAACCACCCGAGGATGGCTCCTAGAAGACTATTTAATTCCAACCTGCCATATGTCCCTTGCCTCAGCATTGTGTGTCTGTGCCTCTGTGCTCTTGCCCCTGTCCGACCTGCATTTCCTGTACCTGTCCTGATATGCTCTGACCTGCTATTCCCTCTGCACTCCTGCCTGACCTAATTTTTTTCTTAATTTGTCTTGCATGTTCTCCTGAAATTTTTATTTTTACCTAGCTTGTAGTTAGTTATTTAGCTCCACAAGTGTTTTTCTGTTTGGTTTTTGGTTTGCTATATGTATGTGTTATGCTTTGTATGTTTACAATAAATTGTATTGTCTTGATTTAAACAGTGATATCTCCCTCTGTGTAGCTCACATATTTGGTTTCCACCAGACCACAAGTAACCTGTTAATGGTTTCCTGACAAACATGTCCTGTTTTTGGTGTGTTGTGCGTTAGCAACCCATTCAAAATGGATTGGCTGCCCTAATGCAACGCACATTAACACATTGGACATCACACGTACAGAGAAGTGTTAGGCTGGGCACACACCTTACAACCATTGCAAGACTTTTGTCTTGCGATGGTTGTAAGGTACTTTAAAAAATGTACGATCTGCCTATCTTGCATAGGCAGATCGTACTTGCGATGATCGCAAGCCACGCCCCCTGAGGGGGCAGGCTTCCGATGACCGCAATGCCGAACGGGCAGTGTGCGCTTCGTACGATGCTCGGCGGGTTTTCAAACATGTCCGTAAGTTAAAAGTCGTGCGACCTTACAGTAGTAGAGGTCGCACGGCTTCCACACACCTTACGATAATCGTACGATCGTGGGATTTCCCGCGATTATCGTACGATTATCGCAAGGTGTGTGGGGACCTTTAGGGGGCCTTACAATTTTAATGGTATTTTTCAACCTATACTGAACAAACAGTAAGTTCAATTTGCAGTTGGCAGCTAGGATATTCTTAGATACGTCTTAAAGTTTTATTCTCTCTAGTGAATCCTCTATTCCATAATTAAAAATGAGAACTCCAGGGCTAGCTGCTGCAATGTAATACATTGTACAATAATATTGACCTAAAACCTAGAAATATTGACTGTGCAGTTACATAGTTGTTACGTTTGAATAAAGACGCAGGACCATCGAGTTCAACCTTTGGTGTGTTTTGTCTTTAATATTAAACCTTTTCGTTGCCAGTTTCACGTGGTGACCTCAGTTTATTACTGATTATCCCATCACATTCAAACAATTTGTACATTAATATTATGTCCCCTCTCAGTCTCCTCTTTTCAAGAGTGAGCAAGTTTAATGCATGCAGTCTTTCCTCATACTTTAGGTCCTCTAACCCCTTTATTAGCTCTGTTGCCATTCTCTGGACTCTCTCCAGCTCAAGAACATTCCTTCTGTTGATCGTGACTAAAACTGAACCTCATACTGAAGATGTGGCCGAACCAGCGCTTTGTACAGGGGCAGAATTATGGATTTGTCTCTATAGTACATTCCCTTTTTTTTTATACATGATAGTACCCTGCTCGCCTTATTTGCTGCTGCCTGGCATTGCATGCTGTTACTACGGCAACTGTCCACTAGGACTCCAAAATCTTTTCCCACCTCTGATTCCCCCAGTAGAACGCCCATTAATGAGTAGCTCGCTCTCATATTTTAAATTTTAAAATAAACTTACACTTCTCAATATTAAATCTAATCTGCCATGCAGATGCCCACCCCCTATCTTATCTAGATCTTCCTGTAATATTTATATGTCTTCTGTCAAGTTTACTACGCTACAAATTTTGGTATCTTCAGCAAGAATTCAAATATTGCCATTATTGGCAGTCCCAATATCATTGATAAACAGGTTGAGCAGCAATGGCCCCAAAACAAAACCCTGTGGAACGCCACTGTCAACCAAGGACCACTTGGAAAATGAGCCATTTATTGATACTCTCTGGACACATTCAGTTAGCCAGTTCTCTATCCAAGTACACACCATTTCATCAATGCCCAAAGATTGAAGCTTGTAAATTAAACGTTTATGCGGTACCGTATCAAATGCCTTTGCAAAATCAAGGTACACTATGTTCGCTGGCTTTCCTCAAATTTGCCACTCACCTCTTCATAGAATGCTAATAGGTTGGTTTGACATGAACGGTCCTTCCTGAAGCCATGTTGGTTTTCACCTATGATATCATGCCCATCAGCATATTCATGAATATGGTCCTTTATGATACCCTCAGAAAGCTTGCATACTATCGATATTAAGCTGCCTGGTCTATAATTCCCAGGTACGCTTCTCAAACCTTTTTAAAATATTGGTACCACAGTATCTTTTGGCCAATCAGCAGGTACCTCGCCCGTCATTATGGAGTCCCTAAAGATTAGGAGCAATGGCCTCACTATTATCGTACTTAGCTCTTTAAGTACCCACAGGTGCAAGTTATCTGGTCCTGGGGATTTATACACATGAAATGTTTCTAGTCCACAGCGAACCCTAGCTTCTGTCAACCAAAGTGGCATTTCCCTCCCAGTGCTACCTAAATTATTGTTGTGTTCATTAAACCCGTCGCTTTCTCAAGTAAATACTGTGGAGAAAAATGCATTTAACACTTCAGCCATCTCCCTGTCATTTGTAATCAACCTCCCATTCTCATCCTTTTATGGGACCCACCTGTTCCTTTCTTACCTTTTTATTGTTTACGTATTACCTTTTTATTGTTTACGAATTGTTGTTTTTTTGCTAACTGTTTTAGCTGTCTGGAATGAACTTTTACATTTTCTATTGCATTCCTTGTAGTTCTGGAAGGCCAGTGCTGTCCTTTCCATCTTATATTTTTTAAATGCCAGTTTCTTCTTATTGATTAGTTGTTTTACATCCAGATTCAGCCACGCAGGTTTTGCTTTTATTCTTTTATTTTTGTTACCCATTGGTATGCACCGGCTAATGCTATTGTTTAGTATATCCTTAAAACAACCCCACTTAGCTTAGTGTTCTTTGTTATCACTAGTTCCTCCCATTTGGTATTGTGCATTAATGATTGCAGCGTGTTGAAGTTAGCCTTCTTGAAATTTAGTGTTTTCATCAAACCAACCTGCCTTTCTTTTCTGTAACCTACTGTAAATGTGATCACTTTTACCCAAGTTTTCCCGAGTTGCTATATCTGAAACTAGCTCTGCTACCATCTGTTCCATGAAACTGTTTCTCAATAAGTTCAGGAAATGGCAAGCCTTGGTTGAGTGTACGGTTTCCTTTGCCCAATCAATCTCTGGATAATTGAAGTCCCCCATTATAATAATGTTACCCCTTTTTCCCGGCTAATTCAGTCTGTGAGAGGAGTTGAGTCTCCTCATCCTCTTTTATGTTGGGGGTCTGTAGCATACCGCCGCAATCAGTTTACTATTACCTCAGGCTTATTTAGTTCTAGCCACAAGCACTCAGCATAATCCCAATTCCATCAGCAATGTCTTCATGCATGTGCACCTGAAGATTGCTCTTCATATACATGAAGCTGCACCCTCCCCATTCAGATGCAACCCATCTCTTCCGTAGAGCCTGTCGCTGACTGTAAAGTCAGCACAGTTCTCTATGAACCAAACCCCTCTTTACAACACCAGTTCTGCAGCCACTTGTTAAGTTCTCTTAACTCCCTCTGCCTCTCTGGTGTCACTCGTGACATTTCAGAAAATACTACCTTGGAGGTCCTTTTCTTTAATCTTGCACCTAAGTCCCCGAAATAATTTTTTATGACACTCCATCTACCTCTAATTTTGTCATTGGTACCAATATGTACCAATGGCTCGGTCATGCCCAGCCCCACCCAGTAATCTGTCCACCCATTCCGCAATGTGTCGAACATGAGCCCCTGGTAAGCAGCAGACTGTCCGATGTTCACACACAGTCCCGGTGACAGACTACCAGGATCTCTCTCTCTATTCCTATCGTCCTACTCCCATCCTTACTGGAGCAGACACTGCCACCCCTGAACTAACATCCCCAAAGTCATGCAACCTGGCATATTTATTGGGGTGCATTAGTTCAGGATTGGCCTAACTAATGGTCTTCCCTCTACCCCGTCTTTAAACGTTAACCCTAGTTAACGATCTAGATAATAAGATCAAGGTATTTAACTTTATAAATGAGACGATACCCATTATAAAGTTAATCTTACAGGTATGATATTTGGAAGTACCGTTTGATTTGTAACACTGGCTGCCCATTCTGTTTGTTGGTGCTGCCTATCATGTATCTATTTTTATTGTGAAGCTCTGCCTACTGTCAAATACATGTGTCCCTTTTAATTTTCTCAATAGGTCAGTACTGTCTAACTGTTACTGTTAACTAGACCAAATCTAAATTCAGAACTAAAAATAGACTAGTATACAGTTACTATACATATAACATTGTTAAAAATTTAACTTTTTTTATGTCATTGCAGGCCAGGACCAAATTCCCCCATTTCCTGGGTACAGGCTTGTGTCCAGATTTTGGACCCTGACTCCAAATGGAGAAAGAAGATCCTGCTTGGATTGCATTTTTATGGAATGGATTACTCCGCACTTGGGGCATCTGGTGAGCCGATCCTGGGCAGCAGGTAGGGAGTGCTGTTTATTGCCCTTCAAAACTTATCACCAGGATAAATATTTTAAATGTTTTGGTTGAAAAGCTCTCAGAAACACAGATTTCTGGACATCTTCCTTAAGGTACTCATAGACATAAGGTGATAGTTGCCCAAGTCTGCCATTTGTGCTAACCACAGCCTCTGCAAATTCTGAGGGTCTCTTCACACGAATACATCTACTTTCTTGTGTTGTAACACATTGTTTTGCAGCATGCCACAGGGCAAAGTCTGTTCTTTAATACATAGGTTGTGATGTCCTGGCAGGCAGGTGCATTTGTTCTGTCACATGTATGTGTTGGAGAGCTATTGAAAATGAATGGCTTTGCCATGCTGCTCACTAATGCATTTATAAACATATGTGTTAGTGTACTTAAGTTTGTGAATTGGCCCTTAAAGTATATGAAAAGCTCAAACTTTTTTTATTAGATAGAGTAGGAAAGGGTTAAAACCTCTATCAAAATATCTCCAAAGTGAACAGAATTCCCATCTTACAACGTTGTCACAGGAACAGATGTTTCGGTCACAAAAATTTGTAGTTCCCCTCACTTTCTGTTTCAGTAACAATGGTCACCAGGACAAACAGAGTCTCCCTAGCAGAGGTGCAGACAGCAATAAAAACTCACTACACTATCTAAAACGAAAGGAAAAAAAAATTATTGCCTTTATATGCACTTTAATAGCTGACTGACTGGAAGAAACAATCATCAGGGATAGATTTTCTGGGCTGATTTCTGTGATTACTTTAAAAAAAGGGTCTGTGCTAGGGGTGTCTGTTTAAAAAAAATGCATGCCTGGCTATTGCAAACCTACATGTTTCTGCCACGACCCTTCTACATAACAGTTGTGTAGCAGTCTCACCTTGCGAGTCTTGTCTTGTGTCTATACAGGAGCCATTACCCTAGCTTTCTTTTTCTTTGATATTGGCAGCAGAAAATAATGCAATTTTGCTTGGCTCTGCGTAGTTGTTAAACTATGAGGTTAAACAGAATGATCAGCACAATCTCCTTTCATTGATAGATCCATGCTTCTTTGAAGTAATTGTTTTACTTATTTGTATCTCATAACAAATCAACATAGCTTTGAGCGTATCCAAGCAGCTTTTCATGGTTATCTTCTTGAAAAATGGCTTCTTCAGAATTACTCTGTAAAAAAAGAAGCTAAGCTGCACTTTTGTTTTGTGATGCCAGTAACTACAGCGGACTTCACCATTTGTTTTCAGGAATCGCACATCAGCGCAGCCATTATAAATTGTAACATAAACTGATAATCCGCAATACACATTGTGTACACATAGTAACTGCTCCCTCGCTGCTCACTATAAACACACCATAACTATAACAGCCTCTATGTATAGCCCTTTATAAATATCTCTGTTTCAAAACTGAGTTTGTTGTGGACAAAAACCTATAGCTTTTGTGATTATGAATGTTCCCAATAATACTGCAGCAGCTTTTATATGGTGTACGCATAGGTGAGACAGTTTTTATTTCTGATAATAAAGTGAGATTTTGCCTATGCACTTGTTCAGCAAATGTCCTGATCTGTTTTATTTGAGCTATGAAGTGTGTTCGAGTACAGCACGGCTTAATTAAAGGTTAACCTAAAGCATCTTGTGGAAGCTGCATGAGTGCCACCATCTTAGGGGTCCATTACAAAGAGGGAAGATAACACACAAAGATGCCTCCTGTATGCCCACATAATTATGTATGTAGCGTACAGTTGCATTCAGAAACAATTAGCAAAATGTTACAGCATTTCATATACATTGTCAACAGCACAATAAGTACGTGAAGGCATTAGCAAAAGTATGGGAAAAATATATATCAAAGCGCTAAAGGTATAACTAATATGAAACTTAGTATAACCAAGTGATATAGTGAAATTAAGGTTTAGGCGGTCTAGCCCTAAAACAAGTGATATGTCATAGAATCATAAAAGAAAAAAGAAAAATAAAATGAATAGTACAATTGTGCTGTGGAAAAAAAGAAAATGATTGGGACAATAAAAAATTTCAACCACTGTGTAAAGACCTCGAATATATAACAATATATAAACGATCCGTGCAAAAAATATATATTAAAAAATTGGAATAAAATGTTCGAAACGAAAAATAAACGTAAAAAACGTGTACAAAGGAAGTTGTTAATGATATATATTGATGGTGGTATATATTTCGTAGCGGTGGTCCGACAGCCCCTCTTGGGTGGGTACTCACCAAATGGAGTTGGATCAAAGGCTTTTAGTTAGTGACACTTGAGCCTGCAATCGTGCTTTCAAACTTGGACCCAGTTGTTTTTACTCTCAGTCCCTGCAAGGTGAGTGTTTGGTTTTTCTCCCCTGTAGCGCTGGCTGTATCCCAGAAGTGAAGCTGGATCGTCTCAGGCGCAGTGTCAACGAAACTCCTTGCCGTGGTCCCGCAATATTTCAAAGATAAAAAAAGGAGAGAACCCTCGTAGTGTAGCGTGCAAAAACATTTAGCTTTATTACAAGTAGTAACTTACACAGGCAAAAAAAAATCAAAAATGAAAAAGTCATTCGAGGTCTTTACACAGTGGTTGAAATGTTTTATTGTCCCAATCATTTTCTGTTTTTCCACAGCACAATTGTACTATTAATTTTATTTTTATTTTTTCTTTTATGATTCTATGTAAGACATATCACTTGTTTTAGGGCTAGACCGCCTAAACCCTAATTTCACTATATCACTTGGTTATATTAAGTTTCATATTAGTTATACCTTTAGCGCTTTGATATATATTTTTCTCGACTGTTGATAGGATTCTTCTATCCTCTTTTTAGAGCTGCTTTAGGTCTTAATTTATTATACATTTCCACTTTAGTCTCCTTTCCAGAAGCGCGGATTATCTATTTCCCATTAGCAAAAGTATTACTATAGGTCTCTCCTGCCAGATAAACTGGAATTACATGAGGCCTGATGGACATTGGCATGCATGTTCATATGTGATTAAAGCAACTCTGTTGCTTCCTAAAAAGGTTTAAAATGTGCCTCTAAAACAAGACAAATAACATTGAACTGTAAAAGAGCTATGTAGTCCAAAGAATTTATTGCAACCAACACATTTCCAGATGTGTTGGGTGGCCAGTACCCTGCTGTGTGCTCTGGTTTCATCTACCAGCCACTACTTCACTACTGCGTCACCTTCCTCCTCATTCTGTTCATGAAAAAATAAAGTTTTGCCTTTTGATACAGTTAAAGTCTAGTATTCATTCAGAATACACTAAGGCTGGGTTCACACCTAGGCGTATCGAATATGCACATTTGTCGCGCACGGCAAATACACCCCAAAGAAGCTCCTGTAATTCTTTGGGCGTAGGGCATTTTGCAGCGCGTTCCTACGCGCTGTAAAACGCCCAGATGGGAACCATGCCCATAGGCAATCATTGGTTTTCACATGTTGAGTGTTTTACAGAGCGTAGGAACGCGCTGTAAAACGCCCAGGTGTGAACCAGGCCTAAAGGTATTTTTTAAGCTAAAGCGCAATTATGTGTTGTTTTTTTGGAAAAAGGAAGGCCAAATGTAATGTAAAATGTACTAGTTAAATTGCTCCTGTTTATTTAATAATAGTCCAATTTACACAGCAGTATGAACAGATATCTTGTGTGTTTTTCTATTAGGTTTTAAACTTCAAGTACATATTAGAAAGCATTTCAAAAATGCTTTATGTACTATAAGTCATATGGTATTGCATAATATAATAATTTTGACAAGCTACAGACATTTAGGCAGCCTGTGTGTGTGTGTGTACACATTTATATATCAGTTTTTTTACTTTAGGTTTCAGGGGATATGAAATCATCTTACATTTATTAGTTAAACAAACATGTTTTGCTTTTACTTACAAATTCTGTTTTTCCATTTCCTGGTCATCTTAGGCATTAGTGATGCAGCACAAGCCTAAAAGATGCAGGACAAGGCAATTTGATGGTGCCCATTTACCTCACCGCGTTGGGGTAGGAACGCGGTGGTGTATGCTGAAAAGAAGTAAGGCATGTCTTACTTCCACACAGCGGGATGTGAGGTGGTACAACCGCCTCGCACCCCTGTGTGCCCATAAAACTTAATTAAAATGTCACTTGTTAGAATTTCAATAAAGTTCTAACAAAAAAAAAAGAACACCTGGTGATGCGCTGGGATCAGCGCTTCGGCACTGTGCCAGGTCACCGCACACCAGACGCTGTGTGTTTAGTGTAGCATCTGGTGTGAATGGGCCCTTAATCAGAGAGCCATTTATGTGTATACTTTTATCACATAGACTATAACCAAATGCTCAGCAATAAAACAAATTTATTACATACAAGATTAAAAACACGCTATAAAACAACAAATCCTGCTTGCAAATATAACATGTTTCACAAATGTTTACAATCCAAACCAATAGTGTTATATATTGTAATATACAGTAGATTTATTGTAAGCGACTATCCAAGTACAGTTTAGAAAATAATAATTTGATCCCATGCAGATTTTGTAAGTTTGCCCACTTACAAAGAAATTAAAGGTCTATAATTTTTACCATAGGTGTATTTTAAATGATAGAAACAGAATATCAACCAAAAATCCAGAAAAAACACATGATACAAATGTTATAAATTGAGTTCCAGTACAGTGAGTAAAATAAGTATTTGATCCCCTACCAACCAACAATAATTCTGGCTCCCACAGACTGGCTATGTGGTGCACAGATTAGTCCTGTCCCTTTTAAGAAGGTGCTCCTAACAACAACTGGTGGTGCAGAGCAGCAGAACTGGCAGAAGGCGGGGGTGGGGGAGGGATTGGGGGTTAATGAATAGCTGTCATCAGCGGCTGCTATTCATTTACAGAGGACCGTATTTTTATTAAATATTTTTTTTACTTTACTGTGTTGGGGGCTTCGGGGAAATATTAGGGGTCTAAACAGACCCCTGATATTTCCCTTTTAAACTAGAAAAAGAGAATGAGGATGCAGAGGCCT